CAATTAGGTGGGACATAAGTATTAATGCATCAACCTGCATTATGGCACCTGTTTCTTTCTGATTTAAGTTTGGCTAATGGCAGCTTAAGTGGCTGTTGCCTCTTTACTGTTAGAACTGTCTGATTGTGGTGGCTGGTCTACCTGCATGTGCCATCCGACCTCTGCAGCTCATCCAGAATGCAGCAGCTCGTCTGGTCTTCAACCTTCCAAAATGTTCCCACACCACACCGCTCCTCCGCTCCCTTCACTGGCTTCCGGTAACTGCTAGAATCCACTTCAAGACATTGGTACTTGCGTACCATGCTGTGAATGGATCTGGCCCTTCCTACATCCAGGACATGGTTAGACCATACACCCCAGCACGTGAACTCCGCTCTGCATCAGCCAAACGGCTCGCTGCACCCGCACTGCGAGGGGGACCCAAGTTCCCATCAGCAAAAACACGTCGGTTTGCTATCCTGGCTCCAAAATGGTGGAATGAGCTCCCCATTGACATTAGGACAGCAGATAGCCTACACATCTTCCGGCGCAGACTGAAAACTCATCTCTTTCGACTCCACTTCGAGCGATAGAATTACTAACAAAGCACTTATATACTAATAAAGGACTGGCTTATCTAAAGCCAGTTGAGTAGCACTTGAAATGTTTTGGCTCTATGAAACCTGATGTACTTATATGATTCGGTTTTCTTCAAGTTTGTATCTTCCTGGTCGAATGCACTTCTTGTAAGTCGCTTTGGATAAAAGCGTCAGCTAAATGCAATGTAATGTATTGTAATGTATTGTAATGTAATGTAATGATAAAAAGAGGAGAGGAGGGATAAAAGAAAGATGTGGAACAAAGAAAAAAGAAAGTACAGAAAGAAAAAAGAAAATATCTGATGGAATGACAGGGTCATAGAACAAAAGGGAAGTGGGTTAGTAAAGCATCAAACATTTGATGTTGTAATGAATGCAATAATCATATCCTGCAAATGTGGATGGACAAGACAACAACAGTATGGGGACTGTCTGTTTAAGAGAAAAAGTCTTTATAAGCACTCTGGCACTGGGTAACCACCGCCTTCGGCTGTGTGCTGCACTGTGTGATCCTGCAAAGAGCCTAAGTCACTGAAACGCTCCCCACACCAAACACATTTAAACTGCCCTTCTCTGGAGTGTGTGCTCGTGTGTTTGGTCAAGTGCTCGCGTTGTTTGAAGCCCTTGGTGCAGTGGCCACATTTGTACGGTTTCTCCCCTGTATGCACGCGCCGGTGTCTGTTCAGGTCCGAGGAGTATTTAAAACGTTTCTCGCATTCAGGGCACTTCAGCGGCTTTTCTCGGGATGGGTCGCATCGATGCTGGACAAATTCTGAAGATGACAGGAATCGGCGGTCACAGAGGGAGCACTTTAGAGGCTTCTCCTGGCAGTGAGAATTTTGATGCCGCTGTAACGTAGAACTCTTCTTGTACCCTTTACCGCAAACGTCGCACTTGTACGGCTTGTCTGGCGAGGTGTTGGACGAATCGCCGCACTTGTGTCTGAGCAGCTCTCCAGACTGGCTGAACTCTTTCTGGCATGAGGCGCACTTAAACAGGTTGTCCATGCCGTGGACGTGCTGGTGGTAGAGGAGGTGTGAGGGCTGCATGAAGCCCTTGTCACACAGGTTGCATTTGAACGGGCGGTCCGCAGGGTCTTTGTGCGTTCGCCTGTGGCGCACCAGTGCGTACTGCTGCTTGAAGCTCATCTGGCACTCGTCACAGTGGAAGGGACGCTCCTCCGAGTGTGTGCGCTCGTGCTGCCGGAGGTCAGACGGACGCTTGAAACCTTTACCGCACGTGGCGCAGCGGAACGGCCGGGAACCCTGCGGATGGCAGGGGTGGTGGAGAAGCTCCGACGACTCTTTGAAGTGCAGCTCGCATAAGTTGCATTTGAATAAGTGCTCGCCCGAATGCACGTACATGTGACGCACGAGGTGGGAGCGGTGCTTGAAACTCTTCTCGCAAACGGCGCACTTGAACGGCCGTTCGCTGCTGTGTGTCCGCTGGTGGTGCTGGAGATGGGACGACTGGCTGAAGGCCTTGTCGCATGTGTCGCATTTGAAGGGTTTTTCGCCCGTGTGCACCCTCTCGTGCCGCGTGAGTTCTGACATGTGTTTGAAGCCCTTCTGGCAAACGGAGCATTTGTACGGCCGGTCTCGCGCCGAGGGAAACGGTAGAATGGATGAGCTGCTGCTTGCCGACGCCCCGTCGCTGCTGGGCTGCTGGGGAGTATTTGAGGTGGGCGTGGTGTTGCCAGAAGAACCGGGTCGGTAGGTTTTCTCGCATATTGAACACTTCATTGGGTTGGTGCTGTTGTGGGACGTATGGTGCTGCGCTAAAGAGGTGAGTAGAGAGAAGCCCATCTTACAAACTCCACACACAAACGGCTTCTGCTCCACCTGAACACACTGGTGCTCTAGCAAGTCTGTCGCCTGGTGGAAAATCTTCAAGCACTGAGTGCACTGGAATGACCTGTCCTGATTCACCATGCACTGGTGCTCGTGTGGGTTGGCCAGGTGAGAGATATCATGTCCACAGGCCCCGCACTTGTGTCCTGCTTCCGCTGCTACCTGCAGGGTGCTCTGCTGGGCCTGGGCGGGGTGCTGCTGCTGCTGACTGAGCTGCCCCCCTCCATGCTGCTGACTGTTGTGTTGTTGGCTGTGCTGTCCATGCTGGGTCTGCTGCGGCTGCTGTAAAGACGTAGCATCCTGCTGTAGTACAATGCCATACACTGCACAGCCCAATGCGTTCTCAGCAGATGGAGGTATGGTGTGGACGACTGGAGGTGGAGCGACTGCATGCTGCTGCCAGGCCTCGGGCATGCGGGCTCGGGAGTAGGGATTCAGTTTGGCAGCCGGTGCGGTCCAACTGCGGCAAGAAATGGAGATTAAAACATATTTAAATAATTAGCTGAGACTTTAGATTGTTTTGAAAAAATGAAAAAAAAACTCACTCCATTTCAGCAAGTGGAACTGTCCAGAGGAGTGGAGATCTGACTTGTGTGGAGGGATGGAAGTAATCCTCCTACTTTGACTTCATTTGTGGCATTTAACTGGTAACTGTATGAACAAAATAATTAAGGTGAGACAGAACATCAATGTGCAATCAAAGGAGCTACTACTCAAAAGCAAAGATGTAAGATTATGTTGTATTTACAACATCCACTGATCAAACTGCCAGTATACCATGGTCAAAATGAATATGTATATTTATATTGTTGTAGCAGAATGCTTTCAAAATTGTTGTTCAAGATTGCAAATGTAATTTTCTACATCAGTTTTGATGATTTTTCTTGATAAACTCTGCAGGATTAAACGTTCACACTTAATTACTTACTACTAAGTACTGTGATCTGTGTTGCAATATTAGGTAACTGCTGGGTCAAGACTATGCAGGCAGCCCCTCAAGACAAATAACACAGCAGATTCTTCCTATCTAGTTTACTAGTAGCAACTATAGAAGAGGTAATCTGTTGAAAGCCTGTTTGCATCAGTCATAATGAATCACCCACAAGACATGTATTGTGAAAAACATCCTTACAATTACATGTACTGCATTTTGACATTGCTGTAATCATCCCATTTCAGAAAAATGTATTTCAAACAACTTGAGATGTGCAACGTGAACGCAGAATTGCACAGCATTGAACCATTCATTAACATACACACTTGGACACTTTAACGCGTAGTCGTAAATGTAAATGATTATTAAACCTGTTATTTTTACAAACGATTAAGTAGAAATCCAAATGCTCAACGATTCGCGGGTAAAAAAAAGAAGTGGAAGACAGCGTCTGCGCATTTGCCTGTTCGTCTCCAGGCAAAGATCAGTAGGCTAACCAGCTAGCCTAGCCACATGCTAACTCAGCCACAGAGGCGCAGGGAAGAGCTAACGTTAACGGACTAGCCTTATGAAAATAACAGTCCAGTAGCTACTGCTGCCGAGACACCTTAGCTAGTGTGTGGTACATGTAAACAGCGAAGCATTTACATACCTGTGGAGTCCAGTCAAGCCTGCAAAAATATCCCCGATAAAATGACAGTCTGCAGTATGTTAGCTAGCGTTGCTCCCCCAAATAACATTAGGTTCCTTCTTCACATCCGCAAACGGTGCTTGGATGCTCTCTTGTTAGAGCACTGTGCTCCGGGGGCCGGAAAATATGTTATTTGCGGGTCATACTAATTGGTGAAAATTCTCCCACGGATTACCAATTTGCCAGATAAACGGTCTCGTTTCACGTATACATGTATTCCACTCCTAAGGCATTCTCTCAGCAATCGAAAACACATGCATTTTGTTATAAATTGCTCGCTAGCTAGCTATCAGCTAGCTTCTGAGCCCCTGCCCGCACACGGGAACATGAATAAACCAATAGTTCATTGGCATGCTCAGTCAGAACACACACACACACACACACACACACACACACACACACACACACACACACACACACACACACACACACACACACACACACACACACACACACACACACACACACACACACACACACACACACACACACACACACACACACACACACACACACACACACACACACACACACACACCACACACACACACACACACACACACACACACACACACACACACACACACACACACACACACACGCACACACGCTTTTACTTCTGTAAACGTTTCCCCATTCAACACATTTATTCGCAAATAGAGTCATAAAGAATAAAATAGTGAATAGTGAATGTTTATAAGACAACACTTTAAAATATGGTATTTCTTATTTTTCTTCTTCTTCGGTTCACCAGTAGCTGTCACCTCTTTTAAATGTTGTGAGGGCTAACCTTTATATATACAGTCTATGGGGCTAACATGCATTTTGACAGATTTCTCGATTTCATTATGCATATCGTTTCAAACCTCTGAAAGGGGAACTAATTTGAGCCAGGGCTGCGTTTCACTGGGAACAAAATTAGTGTTACAACAGGTTGTTTACACCGGAAGCGCAGGACTGCGTTGACAACCCGCCGAATGGTTGTCATTTGCCGCTAAAAATACGTTTTGTAGCCCAGTCAACGTGCTTATCTGGCCTACATTTGAACTTTAAATATGTATGTGAATTAATATCTGTCTCATAGCAAATGTACATGTGTATTTAAGTTTCGCTATGCTCTGACACATTACACATGACAGGATGTTGGTTTGCTACAGCAGCAGCTCGGAGGAAAGTGAGGACGCAGTACCGACTGATGAAAACAACAGTTTTTCTCGAAAGTGTCAAGAGGAAGAGGATGGTAACAACGGTGGCCCAGCGAGGAAGAAACACAAAATTGAGCAACAGGCTCCTAAATCAAGGTGTGTGTTTGTCAATGTGTCGGTCTGCAGAAGTGAAATAAGTTATCAGATATTTTACTTGAGTAAAACTAGCAGTGCTATAGTGTAAAAAAGTTAGTACAAATGGAAGTCTTGCATTCAAAATGCTACTCAGGTAAAAGCACAAAAGTATTAGCATATGCTTAACGTAGCAAAAGTTATAGCACTCATTATGTACTGTATCGCCCATTTCAGAACCATATCTATTTGATATAAATTGTTGTATTATAAATATTGATGCAGTTAGTTAAGGAAGGGTTTAATTGAGTATCTTTATATGTATATAGTTCTAGGTAGCTCAACAATATAACATAGTTTATACATTGATTTATATTTTGTATTAGTCATCCTAATCTGCAAAGTAAAAGCTGTAATATAAAAGTAGTAAGATTAAAAAATGTAAAAACGTGCCTACAAAATGTAGAATTAAATTTGAAAGTGGCATAATTTACAAATATTGAGACATTTTACCTAGTCACATAACATTCCAACACGACAGAGAAACATACACCATATATACAGGATGAGGCAGTAAACACATTTTGTAAAATATGACCAAAAGTAGGTAATTTATTTAAAAATAAAATATGTATTCAACTTCTTCTCCTGGCCAACCCCTTGAGGATTAACCTATGGTCTCACCGGTGTGTGTTTCATTAGGCTTCCTCTCCCTGGCTGCCTGTTGGCCATGTTTCCAGATGAAGAGGACGCAGAGACTGAAGACAGCTCTCTTCATGGTGGACGCATCCGCTCCTTCAAACATGAGAGAGGCAACTGGGCCAGTTACGTTTATTTACCATGTAAGACCAACACACCATACTGCTGCTGGTAATTACTTCATTCTAATTGATTTAATCCACCTTCTCTCTCTCTCCTCTGCACATCAGACCATCCTGAGGAGGAGTTCATGGAGTTGTTGGAGGATCTGCTCTCGTTTGCCAGTGCCCATGGAGCGGTTTTGACCCTGCAGGAGGAGTTCCACCTCAGCCTGTCTCAGACGGTGGTGCTCAGACACCACTGGATCCAACCCGTCACCCAGAGCCTGAAGGCAGGTCTGATGCACTGCAAGAGGTAAGCTCAAATACCCATACAACGAAGGAAACTCATATTTGATAGGATTTGTTCATTTATTTTCTGCTTAACACCAGTGTGTTTGCAGAACATATGTACAGGAACACTATGTACAGGAAGCCATTTGTAGGACAAGTATTTCAATTGTGACAAAAAATCCTTACATTTTCAGTAATATTACTCATAAAGATAACCATTTGTGTATTCATTATTCACAGTGGGTTTCCATGAACTTGTGGCGAATACTGAGGCAAGCCTCCACTGTTAACGTAGAATATAAAAACTGAGAAAAGTCTAGATGAAATCAAGAAAATGTTGGCCGCATTTAACAAAAGCTGAAATATATATCAATCTATCCATTTGGGTATAATTCAAGTCTCATTTACTCAGTTCTATGCTCGCTACTTCCCAAAACACATGCATTTGTACTAAAAGCTTGTTTTTTTTAAAAAAGTGTTACGCTTTCACAGTTGCACTACCAGTCTGAAGTTGAATAAAAAATGTTTTTGTGAAAATGCATGTGTGAGAGAAGTACTTAGCATACAGTATGACAAGAATAATGAAGAGAGTGCAGGCATAGGTAATCAATGAAATACTATACATATTGGATCTCTGCAGGTAAGGTGAGGAAAACGGCATACAGTATGCAGCAGCAGTATAACTTGCACTGGAGTAAGTGGAATAGAGAACATCGTTAATAAAAGATAGTCAAGTTGCATCAGAATCTGACTCTGGTGGAAATGTGTCCATGCTGTGTTTCTTGTTTCCAGGTTTCTGTGCACAGCAGGGAGACTGAGGGTCTACTGTAACGCTGAGAGGACCAGGTACAGGCACTGCTTTTAATTATCTCCCTTTCTCACTATTAACATGTACTGTATACATGTATAACTACTGTAAGTCACTGGCAAATGGGCTATAAACAAAAAGATATGTGTGTGTGGGTATTATTCAGTCATAGGTCTTTAGGTATATAGTCTTAGGGCTGGGTGATATGCAGACAATCAAATATCACAATTAGTTTTGACCAAATGCTTCCATATGGGTTCAGCAATATTATGGTAGAGTTGATCATTGGTACTTTCACATATTTTTAACACAATGGTATTTTGATAAATATTCATCACTTATTAGGATATAAGGAACAAGTGGTTAAGGCTGATAATAAAACAGTCTGGTACATTTAGAAATTCTTATGACTTTAAAACCATGAAAATAAAACAATTAAGCCATATTACGATAATTATAGTAAAATATCACAATTGTATGAAAGTATTAACTGAACATTGATGATAAGACAAATAAAAAATGAAAAAACCAAACAAATAAAACATCATTTCTAAACCAACAAAATAATAAAAATCCCCAAGAATACTTACGGACCGTCCACACAGCAGCGTTAAAAAAATCTTGGAGGTGGGCGTAGCTGAAGCTTGGGGATTTTTTGCGAGCAAGGCACCAACAACCAATCACATGAATCTCCCGCCCCCGACATACGAAGCAAAAAAGTTTGAAGTAAACTGGATATAAACTCCCCAAACAGGCGAAAACATACCACTGTCTCTGCCACCTCCCTCCATGCCTGGCTCCTCCGGTTTGTATCCCGGTAGGTAAATAGGGACTGGTCATAAAGCACCGGGTGATTCCCTACCGCTAATTTCTCCTCCATTTTTTGGAATATGAGGAAATGACCTGCGGTATGTCTCTCCCAGCATACACGCCGTTTGATTGGCTAGAGCTTGAACTGTCAGATTTGCGTACACGGGATTTGATTGGCTGACGCTTCCACCTCAGCCTCAAAAGTTGAACATTGTTCAACTTTGAATCCTGAAAATCTCCGCTCGCCTGCCCACAATGCAGTTCGGCGGAAAGTGATGTCACCCCATTCAAAGTGAATGGGCAGAAGCGTTTCAAGATTTTTTTAACGCTGCTGTGTGGACGGTCCGTTAGTCTCAGATCACAGTTTCGATAATATATCAACATTTTGCATTACACATTCAATTTTAACTGTTGCAAAAAGTTATTGACTTATCTGTCAAGTATACATTTTAATTCTTAATGTGTCTGTGAGAAATATCTTATCTCTCTGTGTGTTGTCCCCCGCAGGACGTTTCTGGGGATGGAGGTGTGCGCTGGGCATGCTCAGTTAATGGACCTGGTCCATGAAGTGGACAAAACCATGACGGATTTTCACCTGGACACCTTCTATAAGGTCACTGTCTGAGAGACACATTTTATCCTTTGAAATATATAGCAAGACCAGTTTGTGTGTGTCACTCTTTAAGTTTGAATTAGTCTTTTTCTGTCGTTTAGGTACTATTAAATTACATTTAGATATTGAGCTAATAGGACAGGTGTATTGTTTGCATTAAAACACCCAGTTTGTCCCATATGACTTATTGTAAAAATAATTACTATTCAATAAATGATTGTAAACCTAACATCCACCCTGGTCTGTTTTGAAGGATCCTTCTTTCCATGTGAGTCTGGCCTGGTGTGCTGGAGACCTGACGGGACAGATGAAGGAGGGGTGCATTCAGGGGATGCAGGTACACTGACCCCACTCTGTGTTTCTTACATCTTAAATTATTCCAATGTTCTGCCAATATATAAATGCCAACATATAAGGGGGTCATTTAACAGGTGTCTCTATTACATAGATTTTCACAAAGAAAGCACTAATAAGTATATGTGTTATAATTATAAAGCTGTTAAAAAGCATCATTCTTGAGTAATGCATCCTTTTGAAAAACCTGTGTTCATGCCAAAGATTTAAAATCTAAAGAGACCCTCTTGGGTTGGGTCACGATGGAAAGAAACGTGATTAACAGGACCCTACGGAGCTCTTTAATCTGCTGTTGTATCACTATAATATTTCTAATGGGAACTTATTATGAGTCTGCGGTACAGAATACATTTACAGTGACCTTATTGTACCTTTGGGCAGTTTTATGATATTAATTGAATGTGGTACTGTAATGTTATATTTCATCCACAAAAAACACACTGGACGCTGCACTAGGTCAGAAACCAGAGGAGACTGTGAGGTCCACCGTAGACGGACCACTTTATCTCCTCTTGCACTTTATATGACGTGGCTGTTATATTGTATTACCATGTCATAAATACTTGTGTATGCTGCTCTTGCTCTTTTGCACTTTTTGCATATCATGTATTTTGTTTTTGCTATGTTTGTAAAATGTCATTTTCTTAAATGTTTTATGTGAGGGACTGCGGATGGAAATTAGCTCAAAGCTAAATCTGGCACTGTTACACTTGACACATTTTAATGTTTTAAGTGTTCATTACTGTGCATTGTCCCTGCCAAATAAACGATTAAATAAAAAGAAAAAAAATGTAGGCCTAAAGTATCTTAAGCAAAATGAACACAGGTAATCAAACTGACTGAGCCAAAAGGCATTATTTACCGATCTATTTTTTTCTACCATGTGACCCAAGAGTGTGGTCAATATCAGCCAATATTCTGTTAAGCGATATAAAAAAGGTCTGAACTACTAACAGTTGACCTCTTGTCTTGGTAGAGTCTAGGTGTAATGTATGCTTTAGATAACACCAACAAATCATACAATGGTCTACATGTGAATTGTGCTGAACACTACTGACTAACTTTGGGTAAAGAGGACTTCACTCACTAACAGGAATTTTGACAAAATATCTTGCACTAAATGTCAATGCTAATCAATGTCTGCCTTTCTTCCTGTTAGAGTCTGGTTGATAACCATGAAGAAGGACCATTCGTGCTGCAGTTGGACTGCGAGGAGCTGCGCTTCAGAACAGGAAACAAAACCTTCCGCTTCCCTCTGAAGCCCTGAAAGTGGATACATGAAAACCTTGACGTCCTAAGATTGACAGCTGTTTTCTTCTGACACACTACAGAGCTGGAACACTTAAACCCTCTTAGTATTGACACTGCTGGCAGATATGTGGCAGGTCCAAACAACGACAATCAAGGCTCCCTAGAGTGGTGCAGTGGTGATGTTTTTTTGTAGGCTCCACATATTTACACCACTTTAAGCATAAATTAAATTTGCAGAAGTAAAAAGCTATAGTTAGGCTATAAAGGAGCTACATCACCGTCGCGTGAGATCACGTCACCACCGCTAAGCTCAAGGCGGCTTATGTTCAGCATAATGACAGTCAGTTGTCTTTTTTTAGTCTCTTTAGCAACCGCTGTTTTTATGAAGTTTTGGACATTCAGGTATAGGGTAATTATTATCTAGGTATAGTGGTTTTAGATCAGGACCTGGTCTAATGTGGTCTACATGTAAAAAAAGCACTGAAATCTCCCTTTTTTGTATTTTCACAAATAGAATTAAGGTTTCACAAATCTCAAAACTGTGTTATAAAGAATCTTTTGACTCTCTGGGATAATCCAGTCCAGATTTGATGAGTCTAGGTATAGTGGTTTTAGATCAGGACCTGGTCTAATGTGGCCAGGATGCGAAAAAGCACTGAAATCTCTCTTCTTTTGTATTTTCACAAATAAAATTAAGGTTTCACAAATCTGAAACTGTGTTATAAAGAATGTTTAGCCTCTGGGATAATCCAGTCCAAATAAATCGGCTATGCAGCGATTTAAGAGGTTCAAACACGGAGGATTGTGCTTCATGTATGCTTGAACTTTGTTTAATGTTGTTGAGGCAAGTTTTCGTACCGGAAGTCATGTGACCTCTAGCCCGGATGTTTACAATGTTTGTGAGAGAGTAAAAAGGCGCGAACATTTGTAAATGCCGGTCTAGGCGAATACGTTTTCACGCTGTTTCATAATTGTACCAAGAAGGAAATAAACATGATTGTGAACATCAGTTCAATGCGTAACGTTCTTTCAAGACAAAGTTACAGTGTGTGTACCTTTGCGTTTGGTTGCTGGTAAGGAGGACGACCAAGCGCTGTGATCTAGAATGCAAAGCTCGCTTGTTTCCAATCCCGAGAGTTGTCCATCCTCGCCTGAAACAGACGATTAGTGCCATGAGTTAGTGAAGCAAATTACAGAAACACTACACAGTTATTCACAAGTCAAAACTTTTCATAGCGGCCGAGAATATCTAGCTAGCTAGATGTAGCTAGCTCGGGGCCGGTGTTAGCCTATTCAGCCTAGCATGGCTAGCTTGATCTACTGAGCAAATAAAAGTACATCTGAGACCATTATTGTGCAGATTAAAACCCCAGTGCATGTAGTTGATTTTACCTTCGTCGTGGTCGTCATCGTTGGCCACTGAATCCGCCGTTTGTAGTCCTGCCTGAGTTTCTTTATTTTTAGCCGGTGTGCCGTGGGGCTGTGCACGATTCCCAGGTCGAGTGAAAGCTACTGAACTGGCTTCAGTAGCATTCCCTGGGTCGCGTCCTCGGCGTAGATCTCCAGAAGCGCCGACACCTCCTCATCATTTCTTGATGCTTGCCATAACTGCTTTCAAAAACAACTCCGTCGGTGTGCTGGATTTTTGTAGCGAGGAGAAACAATGGCGGCTCTACAAAACATTTTCACAGTTGTACGGGGCGTGGTTTGCAATTCGCCCAGCCAATCAGCACTGGGGCACTTTTCACCCACAGGAAAGTACGATCTCTCAGCGGGCTCTAAAAATGGGGGTAAAAGTTCCCGAGATTAAGTACGATTTTTGGTGTGAACGCGACATAAGGGGTACTAACGGAACTAAACGCGAAAAGTACGGTGAAAAGTACTCCGGTGTGAACGCGGCTATTGTGAAAATCTCAGCTTGTTAACCACAGACCTTTTTCAGGCATCTCACCCAAAACACGTTCAAAGAAACATTGAGTTTGTGCTAAAATGCGTACTCATTTACGGGTTTTGGGACTCATCTCTGCACCATTCTATGGCATAAGAATATGCATTGTTTTTTAAAAATGTATATAAATAAAGTTGCTACTGGTTTCTACTTCTTTGCACATGGGATGCTAATGCTACGAGATGTGATAAGTATGGAAGCCCGTTTGCGCCACAGAAAATAAAAAAATGTATCCAGTAAGTCATTATGAGAAAGTAAGTCATGAGATAGTAAGTCATAATTTGTGGCGCAAACAGGCTTCCATAGATCAGGGTCCAGAAAGGTGAATGTCACGGAAAAACATTTTTTCCGAGAATCATGACGCATGTGTGAGAAGCCTCACATTCAAAGGGTGGAAAGCCACAATGAAGGGAAGTTGTGGACTTTATCAGTATTGAAACCTCAATAGTGGTTCCCAAACAGACATGAACACATGAAGGGAAAAAGTCGTCACTAAATAAAGTTAAAACGACAATTCTCTCCGACTACTGTCCTAGAGCACTAAAAGAAAAATCAAGCTGATATTTGAAATGTTTTATTATATAGAAGGCAACAAAAGTTTGACACATTTATGATAGTTCACAGCAGAGTATCAGTGGTGTGGCCCTCAGGGGCGCGCATGGCACAGAACAATCACTGGGGCCAGAGAGACTCTGACTGCTGGTCCACAAGGACAAAACTCTGCACTGAAATTTTTAAGAGAAAAACTACAAATGATAAACAGCAAATAAAATATCCAATTTAACAGAATATGTCCCTTATTTGTGCCTGTGTAAATCCAGTCCGTGGAGGCACAACATATGTACAGAACCACTTAAAATGTACTGTACAGAACATGGAAAGTTAAGAGAAAGAGCTTAATAAAGCAGGTTAAAGTATGCACAAATTGCAACACACCGACTCAACAAATAGCCTCTCCCTACCTCTCTGTTTTTGGTCATTTAGAAATCAGGAGCAGAATTTGAAATGAATGTATTCGTTTAAACTCTTAAAAAAATCATCAATAGCCCAGGATTTGATCCGATCTCGCTTCTTTTTGATTATCTTCGCCTGTACGATCTAATTCAAAGCAAAAAATCTTCAACAAAAAATATATATTCATTTTTAAATACTCTATAAAAGTAGCTGACTTTTAATTAATACTGTGAGATGCGATTGAAAGCTCATAGAAAAGCCAGTAAGTGGACTTTAAAGTGTAAAACTGTTTAACCATGCTATATGACCTTTGAGTGGCTTCAACCAGACTGAAACCAACTTCCATATCCCAGATGTGGATCCAGTCCTTCAGCACACGACTCATTTAATCAGCAAACGTCTACTAAAAGCACTGAAACGTGACTTAGAACTATAGAAAAGCTGTATATGCTTTACTGTTGAGCTTACATTAGAGTCAGAAATCTCTTTCACAACATGAATAAATCATCTGACTTTGATTAATAACCTAAGAAAGTGGCACATACAGTATATCCCTGGTTGACTTGTACATACACACGTCCTATTGTAGATTTAGTAGGTAAAATCTTGGGTTTAAAAGCTGATAATATAAAAGTCATTGAATTTAGGATTACTCAATAGTAAACAACCTGGCATTAACATACATTGTATAATTAAAGCTACACTGACATAACTGAGACGTTGACCCTAATTAAATGTATTATCAACAAATGACACATAATTGTATTAGGTTATTTAAAAGCAATAATATTAAGTTGAACCTAATATCAACTATCCTAATACAATTATGTGTAATTTGTTGACAATATATTTCATTAGTCAACTTTTCTGAGTTTTCAGTATATAAAATTAAGTTAAAATCAGTTTTTTTTTAAATGTAACAATGTTTTCTAAAGCATAGTGGTGTACACAAGAATACATTAGCAGTCACTGTCCGGAGAGACGTGTCGCTTCCTGCCAGCATCACGGGGAGAACAGCACGTCCTTGATGTAAGCCACGGTGGTGAAGTTCAGCAGCATGTCCACGTGCTCGTTCCCGTCGAGCTCCTTCAACATCACGGGCTGTTTCTGCCCCACCACCCAGCGGACGCACTGCTTGGCGCTCTGCAGGTTGACCGTCCCGTCCCCGTCGCCCATCACCACCGTGGGCTCCACGTCGGGGAACTTGTTGGTGTACTGGAAGCTGGCCTGCGTGGGGACGCCGCTGCCGTACAGGCAGTGGACGGCCACGCCGGGGGGGCTGAGGTCGGCCACCAGCGGCTCCGTGTCCTTCCGCATCATCCAGCCGTCCTCGAAGCCGATGTCCTTGTAGAGGCGCTGGTAGTCCAGCACGGTGTAGTTGGTGGTGGGGGTCTGCACCAACACCTGGTGATGGATGGAGAAACATAACTGTTGCTCAGTGCTGTTGCTCAGATTTTATATTTCAGTATATTTATATAATTACTAGGGCTGTCAAGTTAACGCGTTATTAACGCGTTAACGCAAAAAAAAATTAACGCCACTAATTATTTTAACGCGATTAACGCATGTGTATTTTTTGTCCTCGGCCGCCATAGTTTCAGAGCGCATCGAGTGTAAAATACCATCTACAAGCTGATGCTGACAGCCCCGCTCCTGCCGCCCGCTTGTGGCAGACCACACTTCCACGCTCACCGGCAGGCCCGGACTGGCCATCGGGAGGACCGGGAGGGAGTGTGTATGTGTGGCGCGACTCGCGCGAGCGAGGCACACCTTACGTGTTGTTGTTAGCATCTGGTGCTAGCTAGCTACGCTAACGGATATAAGGAGCTGTTTCAATGACATTTCGCCGACAACTGCGCCGAGCACTTGACTTTATGCAGGTAGCCAGACAGTGGGACACTTCCTGATGGGAAGTCAGCACACTCAGCACGGATAGTGCGCGCAACATGACTGCAGCGTCCAGGCAGCTCCCGTTCGAGCATAGATGCCTTGAGCTGCACATAGCTCCAACGATCCATCACAGTGTCTCCACATTCATTCACACACACACACACACACACACACACACACACACACACACACACACACACACCACACACACACACACACACACACACACACACACACACACACACACACACAGCACACACACACAAACACACACACCAACAACACACACACACACACACACACACACACACACACACCACACACACACACACACACACACACACACACACACACACACACACACACACACACACACACACACACCACACACACACACACACACACACACACACACACACACCACACACACACACCACACACACACACACACACACACACACACACACACACACACACACACACACACACACACACACACACACACACACACACACACACACACACACACACACACACACACACACACACACACACACACACACACACACACACACACACACACAGTATTATTGTATGAGAGAGGTTCCAGGTTGAATTGAGGCGAATATTTGTAATGTTCAGAGGTTGTTGTGTTTAATATTCATGAGAATATTTGTCATTGTTCAAATGATAATAAACAAACATATACAGCATATTTGTCCACTCATATGTTGATAAGAGTATTAAAAACTTGAAAAATATCCCTCTAAGGTACATTTAGAACAGATAAAAAATGTGCGATTAATTTGCGATTAATCGCGATTAAATATTTTAATCGACTGACAGCCCTAATAATTACCTCTCTATTATTTTTGCCCTTGTGTTTTACTATGAATTGATAAAGGGGAAGCATTTGGATGACATTAAGAGGACATATCTAAGACCCCTTTATATATATCACTGTCTTGCAATCAGCTTAATCTTACTCTAAATATTATATATTTTTGGGTTTTTTATACCCCATTAATATGATTTATTACGATTTATTTTTCACATAGAAAATAAATGATCTGGCTTTATAGCTAAGTGCTTCACTATATTCACCAGTAAGTTGCTAACTTCTGTGAGCTTTAATTATAAATAAAGCTTTGAAGTTTCCAATGCTATACTGAAAACTCGGAAAGCCAAGACAGGTGGCCAAAAACCCCACCTGATCTTCGGCCCAGGAGTGGGCGTAGGGCAGCAGCCAGGAGGTGGAGACAGCAGAACGTTGTTGGGAGCGAATCTTCAGCGGGCTGATCACCGGGATGCGGTTATTATCACCTGCAGGAACAGAGAAAAGAAACCAGTGACAGAGAAGTGAAACTGAGCTGAGAACAGCTACAGACCATAAACCACCAAGGAGAGTTTTACTGTGTGGCTTCCTAAAAAACATTTACCAACACACAGGAGCTGATGTAACTGTCCTTTAAGCAACAGGGTTCGACTATAAAGTAAACTTATAGAGGAACAACGGCTGTTTCCTCATTATTTGAAACAGCACTCATTAACTTCCTATGAGAAATATGTAAACGTTTGAGGGTCTTTACTGTCCAGTAATGATTGCATAACATAATGTGTTAGATTAGATAAGACCCCCTACATAAGCAAAACAGTTTCCACAAAGCAGTTCTATCTCTTACCAGAGATGAGCACCCGGAGGGTCTTGGCCACCCCGGCCCACGGTGATCCCAGAGAGATGAATGCTTTGATGTATCGGTCCTTCCAGGCCTGTGGCTGCTGGTTGAGGAAGTACAGGGTGTACATGTTGCCCATGCTGTGAGCGATGAGCACCACGGGCCCTCCTGCCTTCTCTGCCATCTCTTCAATCATCTTCTGCAGCGCCAGGAAATACTCCTTATTTTCATCTGAGAAAGGACACACAACAAAGAAGATTAGTAAACAAAGTTCCCCCACTAGCTGTGGAAGTCCCCGTATTTTCATTTTTAGGTTGGAGCACTTCCAACACTTGTTTCATTCCTGGTATGCAGATAAAGGGCTGCAACAAGAGTGTGACAGGTCAAATATGTGGCCCGATAGAGGAAATTCCATTCTGATTTCACTGCCTTAAACACCTCTCTCAAAATAAAAGGACAAAAAGTCCATGAAGGTTTCTCATTTCTCTAATTTCCCCTCCTCGACTCCTCGGTCCTCCGGTAGTGACCCGGAAATGGATTTCAGCGTGCCATGTTGAAGGACATCTAATTTCTCTAAATGCATGGATGTATATCCAGTCTCTGATAGTGTTACGTTATTAAGAGAGTGCTCTCATACTTGTTTGATTCTGAAATTGTATATATTTATATAAATATATATATAAATATATATATGTGTGTGTGTGTATATATGTCCGCATCTGTAGCCTGTTATTGTCTCATTATACTGCAAGACACGAGGATAGGAGTCGAGGAGGGGAGTCGAGGAGGGGAATTAGAGAAATTAGAAACCTTCCATGACTGGCTGGAACAGTGTTTTTGTTTGGTTTCCTCCTAATGTACAAAGACATTCACACTGACTTACAAAATTGAAAGACGCGAATGTTTCTTAAACCAATTAACATGCCTGCTAAATGATTCTCTAAAATGTATGATTTCATGCTATTTTTAGGCAATAGCATGGGTCTCAGATATATAAAAATATATAAAAAACATGTATATGAAGTGTTTTGCTCAAAATACCAAACAGATCACCCATTCTAGCCATGCCTCATATCCCTCTATTTCACTTCCTGTTTCAAAAGTGCTGATTTTGGGTATACATTTTTTTTTTTTTTTAATTGATAAAAAAGAGGGGCGGAGTTTATGCCTGCTCATGCGGGAGATTCTACCGGCAGAAACTGCCGTGATGAAACGCCTTATCATGGATTATCAAGGATTATTTCTGAAACAGTATGGAGCTCAAAGGCTTTCTCTCTTGCCGGTTATACCACAAGGTGAGTTCCTTTTTATTTCCTGCTTCTTCACACACATGCTCTCTCCAGTACAGGTTAGCTCTGAGTGTTAGCGATGCTAAAGTAAACACCGACCATATTACGTCCAAAACAGTCGGGCATTGTTTCTGATAGCAACGTTTCTGATAGTGCTGTGGGTCTGCATTGCCGATATGACGTCATATCGGCCGCAAATCTGGATCAGCTCCGTTGTACCCCAGTTTTTAGAGATTTGGGCAGTGGCGTCGCCTGGCCTGGGCATCCGGGGCTTTAGTGAAAAATGCCACTGTAGTGCCGCCGCCACTGTGGGCTAAGCCCCGAATGTTTTCAGGTCCAGGCGACGCCCCTGGATTTGGGTACGGAGGAAAAGAGAGAGGGTTTTATTTTCTGACGCTGGGTGAGTTCCCTGACACACCGGGGACACATATTTATGTATAAAATACATCAAAAAGTGCATTTAGCAAGACAGGTCCGCTTTAAAGTAGTGATTTTCGCCTCAATGCACAGAACACAACTTAAAGGGTATGACAATATTGGAGTGCTTAATTTGAGAGATCAAAATAGAATAATTAATGCTCAAAACATATTTTTTGCATGATCCTATTTTTAAGTTTTGAGTATTCTGTCAAGCATTTGGTCCAGTTTTTTCTAGATGTTATGTGTCTGTCTAGGAAAAAAAATATATATATTTTTAACTTAATACAAAAACATGTATGTGAAATATGGGACTATAGTTATTATTTGTTAAACATACTTCTCCCACATTAAAAGAACGGCATGCCTCTCTGCAGCTGCCTCGTGATCTGCAGGGATAGTTTCATGCACCAAAATGTGCGACAAGCAGACATATCAGAATGGTAAGCTTAGTTAGCATTTGTTATTTCTCCATGTAGTTTGTTAGCTTGTAACTAGCCTTAGGCCCCGCTCACACGGGACCGTTTGCGTTTATGCACAGTATGCGTATTCAAAAAAGTCTTCCGTTCACATGCATTTGTTTCATTTAACGTGTCTGTTTAAACGAGGCCGCTGGAAACGCTGTAGTACATATGCTGGGACTGTAAGTGGCGCTGTAACTTCCGCCAAAATACACCAAAAGCCGCGAAGAAGAGCAGCCTGGAGCAGCCCCGCAGCAATGTTGCCATGGCTACCCTTCTGTTTAAGCCCTGAAACTGAAACTGAAAGAAACTGAAAGAAACTGAAAGAAACCGAATCTGTTGTTGCTGATGGTTGTGGTAGAGGAGCTGTATATTTTTGCACTAATATCTGTAGCATGGTCAGTAGCAGTAGCACTAGCAGTAGCTACTGACAGGAGGAAGTCAGTGTGTGTGGCGATTGCTGGTATTCAGCGGGATATAGTCATTTCCTCAGCATATGGATAAATGCAACGGGGAAGTTAACTGAAAGAAACCAAGAAGCACGTCTCTGTGGATATTGCATCGAGAGGACGGCTCAGAAAGAGAGATATTCTCTACAAACACCGGGTGAGATGCACCTTTGTCAATATAATGGATCAATGCATGAAATCTGACTCTGTTTATTTTGTTTAAGGAGTATATTGGGCGTTAACAATTCTGGTTTGCCTTTTATAATATTATTTCATTCAAGAACCCCTTGTGCGTTTAATTAACACAGCTATTTTTGATAGTTGCTAGTACAGCAGTGAGCAGGAGAGGCGGGGCTATCCTATTTTTCCAGGAAATATTCGTATAGAGGTGATTACACGGACTCGGTTGACCCCCCAGAGCGTTTCGTTTGCAAATCTATCCACCTTGGGACCCGTTATTGTTTGTGGGGTCAGTTTCTATCGGCCTCGTGTAAATAATAGGGCTATACGCACGCGAAACTATGCAGATACAAGCAGTTTTCTCCTCGTGTAAACGGCGCCAGAAACAGCGGTAATGGTTGTTAAACATATAGACTCAGCTTGCAATATAGCCCTTCTTCTCTGGAACTTCTCATTTGCTAGTAGTGTTATGCTTATGTTATGGAAAGCTCCAACTAAAACACTTATTTAGCATTTAACAAATATTGTACCTACTGCAATTTGAATATCACACTAGTGCATTTTGCAATTTTGATAGAATATTGAATAACTGTGCAGCCCTTATTCGTTCCTTGGGTATGTGGCTGTCTGAATGTGTTTTCTGTGTTTGCTCATCCATGGTGTTCACATCTTATTTCCCTCATGATATGTTTTATAATATATCTTTTTTTAAACTCTCTAGGGACATGTTAAAAACCGCCATGATTTCCATCTGGACACAAACCACATACAGGTTCTCCAATTATAAATTAGTTCATGAGTGTTTTAGTAAATCATTTTTTAAAACGACAAGAATGAGGAAGTGTCATTTGGGTTTTACTAGTGAAGGCTCATCATTTAGGGTAACGGTCCAGGGTTTTAATGTAAGTGTGTGCATGGTGGCTTACTGGGGGTTTTCCTCCAATCATAGGGTGCTCCTCTGACATCATCATCTCTGGTGTAGCCCCACTCTACCATCGCCTGCACTATAGTGAAGAAATACATGCCTAGGAGAAACACACACAGACAAACATTAGGAACAAAAAAACATTCCCTGACACCTTTCATTCTTGTTTTTCTACCCTAGTAAGGACCCATTAAAAGGCAAGGACATTTTTGCTTGGTCCCCACTTCTCCCAAGAACGGTTTTGGACCTTTTACTCACCCACACTACGTTTACTGGGGTCCAGATACTCCACAGAATACGTCTGTCCGAAACCCGGGACACGGATTTCCACACCCGGGGGGGACGAGGTGCTGTGTGTGGTACTGTTGTAGATAAGCCTACACACACACACACACACACACACACACACACACACACACACACACACACACACACACACACACACACACACACACACACACACACACACACACACACACACACACACACACACACACACACACACACACACACACACACACACACACACACACACACACACACACACACACACACACACACACACACACACACACACACACACACACACACACACACACACACACACACACACACACACACACACACACACACACACACACACACACACACACACACACACACACACACACACACACACGTTTTGCTTCTTTGGTAAACCATATGCATTCACACTCACAGATACATCTTACTACAAGGCTAGATACACTTCCCATTTATAATCACCATCATCCCACATCCTCGGTTTGTGTGACAAACAACTTCCCTCACTCGAAAACTCCCATGCAGATGTGAAAGAGGATGTGTAAAACGAAGTGTCGCACAATGAAATCTAGATTTTTTTGAAGCTATAAAACTCTGATTAATAGATAAGCCCATAAACTGCATTTTGGTTAATTTATTTAATAGCAAGAGGATATAGAAACATTTTTCCTTCACTAAGTATCATAAAGTAATATTGATCGCACAATGTGATGGCTATAGAATAATGAGACCATCTGCGTTCTGATTGGTTCCCTAAAGGTCATATTATCACTTTGCAATTCTGTCTGCCACCAGGTATGGTTTCCTTGCAAATATTAGCATATACAACAGAAAGTCTTGAAAAACAATATGTATTGTGTCCTTGTTAGTGTTGCCAACCTTTTTTCTAATAGCTAAAAGTGGTTTTACTTTGTATTATGGATGTAATCGCACAATAATTCTAATAAAGCTTAGTGGTTGTGTTGGTTACGGCAAGGACACACTGGCAAGAGGAGAGGAGGAGCCCGGCTGATGGCAGAAAAGCCTTAGACTGAGTAGCATTGGGAACCAATTACATTTTGATATGTTTAACAATATGGTAGGTTGAAGCTCTTAGTTCAGTTAAATTGGCCAGAGTGGATTTATGTTATTGAACTAAAAACCGTCAACTGACTCAGAGTTCCATTTAGCCTCACGGCACGCAACTCAACATGAATAAACCCGTAGAATTACTCATGTCTCATGGGAATTAAGTGAGCTGCAATTTGCCTCGCAATTAACTTCACTGAGTCATAAATCAGTCAAATCATAGTCACATGTTTTAGAAACCTTACACTTTCCAGGGATCCAATGCCTGCAGAATTTGCCGAAGAATATTGTCACATTCATATTTTTTCTTTGGTATGAAGATAATCCAATGTAAATTGTCTGACTCAACATTAAACTTCTTATTTACATCCATAAAGGCTCTTCAGCCACCAATGTATATTATGGGAACTGCAATTTTCAAAACTTAAACTCTTTGGATGGATAATGTGTGACTTCACCACCGAGGCAGGTTACTGAATGAATAGCTCGTCTCTACTTGCTATTGTAACAATATGTTTTAGCTTTTAGCATTATCCTGTAAGCGTCATTACCCAAGATAGCTTTATGCCCAAAGTATTATTAGTTAACAGGATTATGAGCAAGACTTTTCAAGATTAAACCTAAAAACACTAACATGTATTGAATGTACTCCCATCATAAGTGCACTTATATTGAAAGATTTCACTTTAAATGAAAATGTTTAAATTATAGCTCAATTATTTAAAAACAGTTGACAATTCATCTGTATTTGCAACAACAACAAAATCATACAATCTAATTCCTGGTTTGTGTTTCCCTAACTCTAAGGAGAAGCCTGAGCTTTACATGAACTATTGTGCATTTGCCAAAATGCCATGCCAGCCAGTCAACTGATCAGCCAGTTACACAAGATATCTTCTCAGGTTGCCCTCATTTCACAATGTTGGTCAAGATAACCAATGCTTTAGCTGCTGTTTGCATGTTGAATGTTTATCATTTTTTGGATGAGAACTCCTTTTATTTAGCTCATTTCAGCCTGGATAAATAAAAGCACATTGTATTATTAGGGAGCAGAGCAACAATTCAATATGATTGAAAAAAAGCACAACAATGTTTTTAAGAAGGAGATTTTGTAGTTTCTTAAGTCTAAATAACAATAATACAAAATATATCTTCTCAGAATTACAGGATTTTGTCCCAGTTGAACACCATTTAAGCTATATAATAATATGCTCTAATACGTTTTGTAAGATCTGATAAGTTGAATGGCTAAATATGTGACCTGTAAGTCTTTTTCAGTTGAGTGGTGATGGACACATTTAAGGAATGCTAACTCTTCCTCTGTTTCCTTCTGTGCATTGTTGATTAATGGGGGTTCAAAGGTCTGTTTTTCCAATGTAGGTTGATAACTGTTCATGCAGAGAGGTCATTGAACCCATGTACCCCATCTCTATCCTGTTGACAGCCCCTCCAGGGATTTGCACTTTTGGAATTTGCCCCACAGAATGTTTTTTTTTTGTATTCCTACAAAAACAGCATAGGCGAAACATATTAGGGTCACCTTATTGCAGAAAAATAACACCCAGATTAACATTAAATAATTATAAAATGTAATATTAGTGATCTCTTCACACAAAATAAAATAGAGGCAGGAAAACAAACATCATATTTCTCTGTTGTTCTGATGGAAAACATGACAAACAAACTTTATGAGAGAACATCTTGTGAATTTGGTGAGTACCTGACTGACAAACAGTACTTTATGTGCACATAGAAACCCACGTCATACCTTATGTTGTCAATCCAACAGTCAATGGCTACAGGAATCAGCAGCTCCAGGTTGAGCCACAAAGTGAAGAAGTCCGTCTTCTTATAGCAGATGTAATGGACCACACTGGGTTTATCCAGCTTTGCCTCCAACTGGTTTCCCAAATCCCCCGGAACTGCAACGAGCAACATTAGTAATGAGTTGCAGTAGTAAAAACTCACAGTAGCAATTAGGCTCAAAAGTGTCAAATTAGTAATTAGCAAAGAGTCACATAAGCAAAGTCATATTCGCAATTAGCTACATTAGCAAAGAGTAACATTAGCAAAGAGTCACATTAGCAATTAGCCACATTCACAAAGAACCAAACTAGCAATTAGCCACATTAGCATTAGGAAAAAGTCACATTTGCAAAGTGTTGCACTAGCAATTGGCCATATTAGCAAAAGCTACATTAGCAATGAGCCAGATTAGTACATTTTCAAAAAAGCAGTTAAGAGATAAGCCAGCATTTAGCCTAATTAATCAAATTATCAAAGACTCACATTATCAAAGAGTAACATTAGAAAAGAGCCACATTAGCAATAAGCCATATTAGGAAAGAGTCATATTAGCAATTAGCCAAATTAGCAAAGAGTCATGTTCGCAAAAAAAAAAACATTAGCGATTAGCCACCATTCTGTAACTATGCTTCCACTGCAAGATTGTCCAAAATGACATAATGTGGATTGTGGATAGATTTAAATTATAATAAATTCTGATGGCAATTCGACTTGTTTTTAAAAATGGATATACTTTTGTATCAGTTATCAATAGCAAGAGAGATAGCTTTTAAAAACATGCAGATTTAAAAGGTAAAGGTAATAACTACTTTCCACCCATGCACCTTTTGCTTATATTTGGCACTGCATCACATTGTCCTGTCCAATCCTATCTTAAAACATTCACATTTCCTTTTACATCTTTTAATATACTTTATTGTTGTACTTGTATATGTGTCCTGCCATTGTTCATCTTAGCTCTGCTGCAAGCCACATTTCTCCCACTGGAACATTAAGGAATTGATGTTAACAATCCAAAGCTGTAAAGTCATGTATTGGGCCAGTTCTCAATGCTGAATGCACAGTAGCAAATGCATATAGATTCAAACACTGACATTGAAAATAAATAATATTGAGAAAAGGCAGACATCAGAGTTTTTTTTGAAAGACTGAAACTAAGAAGATTTATTCTCTCTATTCGTTCAAATGTTAAAGGTGGTAAGTTTGAGAAACCGGCTCGAGATACACTTTTTGTTATATTCCATGGAATGCTCTTAACATCCCGATAGCAATGAATATCTTAAGTGCTTTGACAAAAAATCCATACAAAAGTGTCATCTGTGGAAGCCGTAATACTGTAAAAAGCACGACCAATCATTTTAGCCGGCCCGGCTAAAATAACTGGATGGCCTACCTGCCTGTCAGCCTTCCATCTGTGCACAAACTTATCTTGTGCCCTCATTGGTCATGTGCCCGTTCGTGTGTGTTGGAGGAGGGGCTCTGTAAGGAAGTGGCAGATTTTTTCCGGCTGTGTATTTTCAAATTCTAGCGCACTCGAGCTGGTTTCTCCAAAATTACCTACCCCACCTTTAAGCTATAAATGTGTAATTTGTTTCAGTGCTTTAAGAAAAAAAGTATGATGTTCCTGATTATTGGGCTTAAATTTGACATTAAGAAAGTGGTATATGGGGTGAGTTCGAGTCAGTGTTCATTTATCAGAAAGGTTCAAATTTGGTCTAGCATGATAAATATTGACCACTTCTACAAAGTGGACTGGAAATCGGAAACAAAAAAAACCTTCAGGTTGTTAATGTGACAAACTTACAAAAGCCGCACACAGGCTTTTGTCCCTAAATGTTATAAATTGCACCAATTTGAGTGACAATAAGCACTGAAATGCTTGTTAAATGGCAGTTTGAAACGACTGTACTATTGATAATTAAATCAAAGGACACGACAGAGGTAAAGAAAAGCAACGTGTTTTTCCATTCTCTATTGATGTGTGTTATACCACCAATCTTAAACAAAGTTATTCAATCTGCAGGAACTTGGTTTGTAATAGCATCAACATGAGGTTAAGTAAGAATTATTTCAAGACACACAAGTATATAACCACCTTAGCAAACAAACTGCAACAGATCACTGTAGGTCGAGCAGCTATAAAGGCTCTTATGACACACTCATGAGGACAGACAGAGGCTGTGGTTGTAAACAATGATAAGATTGCTCTAAACCCAAGAACCTTTCAAAAAGGAGTTGTGTAAGAGGAGAAATTGCAGATATGTAAGCTGTTTAGGGGTAATGTTATATCTCTAAGCATGGATTATAGATTGAAATTTAAATAAAAGGCATACAAGTGTATTTTAGGACAAAGTTAGATAGAGCCTTCCTCTGTAATCTGGACACATGATTGGCTGCATGAATAACTCAAGTCATATGATCACTGCTCTGCCTGTAAACAAACACAATCTCACATTGAAGAGGAGAACAACCTGCATGATGTATGCAAATAAAAACGGGTTAAATGTTAACTAATCCTGTAAATATGTGCACATTAGTGTGGTAATAAGGGCTCTTGTTCCCGATATCCGAAATACTTTCCCTGACAGTACCAAGCCAGACTACTTTCACAAATATACAAATTTAAATACATTCCTTGACAGTCCAATTAAATCCTCAACAAACGATGACCAAATACATTTTCCGAACTTGGTTTTCTATTCGGCACCAACTTCAATGATTGAAATTGAATTTCTTCAGGTTAATTTTGACATGTAAGTAACCCGTGGTACACACTGTTCTCTACGACCAATGTTTGGGCGTTTTGTTGGAAGATGAAGATGAACCAACAGGCCAAACATTTAACGTTAAAAAGTTTGTAATCGACGTATGCACACATTGGATATCTATATAACAGCCGAATTGCCGAATAGTAATTTGAACATTGCTGAGATTTATATGAAGCGTTATAAGGTTTACAAAAAGCCCAAAAATATATAATTGGCTAAACTTTGAAGGGAGTTGGCCCATCTTGAATATTGCCCACGGTAGCTAGCTGTTGATGTGCTGGTTGCCGGGCTGTTGCGCAATTATAAAGCAACAGACAGTAACAAGAGTAAAAACAATGAAGAAAACACTTACTGAGGACCACGGGCGGTCTCAGGGGCTGACAAGATTTGCCACCGAGACATTTCTCCAGCGTTCTCCCGCTGCTCCGAGCCGAAAATAACAACAATAACAACCCGACTTGGAGCAGCGAAGATAGGGCGGTTATCCGGTGCCAAGCCGCCATGGCTCCAGATGTCTCATAGCCGGGCGGTCATGGTAGCCTCTTCGGTGTGTGTCGGTCTTTGGCGGATTCTCTCTGGTTTGCTGTTAAAGCTCTCTGATCAGATGTACCTCACTGTTGACTGATGAACAGTAAACAAGGTAGTGATCACGAGGTACAGATTACAGAGCAATCCACCCAGCAACACGACTTTCAGCTATCAAGGCAAAAGTAATCGACCGCAGATGTAGCCGAACAGACGCAAAGCGAGATAAAGTTTGACATTTGTCTTAAAGGTCCCCCATCCATGTCATGGCCATTTCTACTGATCATATTTCCCTTGTTGAGGTCTACTAGAATAGATTTCAATTGTGCAATTTTCCAAAATCACATTGGTTTCTCATACAGCATCTCTGTATAGTATGTGTATTCACCAGGGGCCTCATTTATAACGCCTTGCGTAGGATTCACGTGGGAAGGTTGCTTACGTAGTACAAAGCAAAAAAATAGGTACAGAAATGTTTGTGTTTGTACCGGGGACAGGAGACACCCCAGTCTTGGCAAACGGCATAAAACACGATTAAACGTGATAGTATATAAAACCATGCTCGTATCTACAACCTATAGAAATGCAAAACGGCGTCAGTTTAGGCGTAATTCTGTCCTCCTGCTTACCGCATCATTTATGAGAAAACATTTCATAACATTAACACAACATATTCGAGGTGGTTTTAAATAACATATCCGTATTTATTTATTTCTCCAAGTTATGTTTTTGTGTGCACTGAGGAGTCGCAAACAGGCGTTTGTTTAATCATTTTAAGATTGGCTTTAATCAATGTTTGAAAATGAATTCTTCATATATGATAAATGAGAGGTAACATTTTATTTATGGTATTATTTCCACATATTTCTCTCCATTCTTCCTTCTGTCAACGGTGTCGCAGTTTCTCGTCTCTCCCGTTTTTGTGCTTAGTGCGTACGCATGGGTTAGAGTTTGCGTGGAGGACCGCACATTTTCCCGTCAAGTTAGTATTTTATAAATCACAAACATTGCGTAGAAACTGGCGTACGCCATTTTTTATATATTTTTTGTATATCCCTTTATAAATGAGGCCCCTGGCCTGTTAAGTGGCCTACCGGCCTGGCGATTTTCTTTTTTTTGTATGTATTGTGAACGCAACGCTGCGCAAATGTGGGTCTGCCTCACACAAGGTGACTGTCTGTCTACATGATGTGGCCTGCCGACAGGGCCGTCCCTCCCTACAGGCTGATCACGCAGACTGCGTGGGGCCTCACCTCGCGGAGGGGGCCTCATCTTGCGGAGGGAGCCTCAACGGAGCTGCAAATGCAGCGCACCTATGCGCTTATGCGGCGCATTGTGGGACGCGGCACGGTTGCGAGGCTCCATTAGCGCGAGGGTTTAGATCAGGGGTCGGCAACCCCTGGCACGCGTGCCAGCATTGGCACGCGGCACCGTAGCCAGTGGCACACTAGGAATAAGTCGAATAAGTGTGCAAAATATTTAAATTGTATTTTCGGATCCTGAACGAGACCGCCGCCAGAGCGCGTCTCCCCGTTACCTGCAGAAGGAAGCCATGCACGCAACGCAGCCCCGCTCTCTTTAACTCCAGGTGACTTTCTGCCGCTTTCCTCCGTGGTGCAGTGCTGATCGTTTCACCACGGAAGAAAGCACTTCACAAATTGCAGTACCCATAAGGAGCTTTACAAATGTCGCAGTTTTTGCGTGGCTGTGTGTGTCTTTAGTTGAAAGCCCAGTGGCGATCTGCTCATCTCTCATTGAAATAATATGCTACAAAGGGGCGGACTGGCCATCTGTGTGTTGAACTTTCCTGTCGGCTCCCAGACCGTAGTCGAGGAGGGCAGAAGCAACGAGCTTCAGGTTCAATAACCCACTTTAGCTTAAATGACTGGAGAGAGGCGAGCTCTTCTTGAGAGGCCGTTGCATTTATTTAGCTGTTCTTCTGTTTCACAAAATACATCACAGACCTCTGTTTTTCTGCTGCCTCGTTTCACTTCCAGAAACATACTCACACGCACACGCCACACCCCTCTCTCTCTCTCTTAAAGGGACAGCGATCTCATCTCACTCTGCATGACCCTAATATCATAACATGTGTGTTCTGGAGAATCACAGAACGGACGATCGTCCTTATTATTATGCCGTTTAAACCAATTATTTAAATGTGTTTGTTAAATTCGGTATCATGTAAGTTGCGCTGACAGGTCCACACACTGCTTCCCCGCAGCGAGGCCCCCCCGCCCTCCTGTTGATAGATCACGAGCGTCAAGCTCCTCAACATCCTCAACACACCCCCCCCCCCCCCCCCCCCCGTTGATAATTCTCGATCGTTGGCACGCTGATAATTTTTTTTTTTTTAAATGGCACTTCATATCAAAAAGGTTGCCGACCCCTGGTTTAGATAGTTAACAAACTGTTTGGTTACCATTTATGTAAACACATATTTCCATTTGAGGGGGGAGTGATTAGTAAAATATGCATGTATAAAAAGAAAAAATGTTAAATAGGTGAACAAATGTAAGATAAACTAGCTAAAAACTAGCTAAAACTAGTCTTTGCTGCTGCCTCAAAGAGGAGCAGGGGGGAGAGGAGGGAGACAGGAGAGGCTGATTCAGGAGCCCAGACACACTCACAACTATAAATAAACCAAAAATAAATAAATAAACAACTTTCAATTTTTTTTTAAAGATCTGTTTCATCAGGGTGTTTCCATAGATCTAGTCTCAAAATGCACCAGATTGATGCATTTAACTCCAAAATTAAAAAGAAATCTTACCGGGGGGCATGCCCCCGGACCCCGCCAGAGGATTTGAGGTCCACCCCCATTTAAAATATGTTCCCATGGATAGGTTCCCAAATACATTTGCACATTTTTTTTTTTTTTAAATAGTAACCCCTGTCCATATGTATATATTATTGGGTAGATATAAACTATAGGGCTATCACTATGGGCAGCAACGCTGTAAATATTCACAAATAAATCCAGCAAAATGGCACCAAAAAAAACAACTGGTAGTGGCCTGGCTGGGTGTATGATTCCCGGCCTGACTTATGGCGCATTTCCACCATGGCACGGAGTGCGGTTTAAGCGTGCAGTGTCGTGCCGGTGTCAGTACCATATGTGTTCGCCCTACCATATGTGTTCGGGGTCCGTCGCTTACCAATGACGTCACCCATTGTGATTGGCTGTACGGCAGCGGTTTTCAAAGTGTGAGGCGCGCCTCCCCTGGGGGGCGCCAGAGAGCTTCAGGGGAGGCGCAGCGTGAGAAAAAAATAAAGAGAAACAATGAAATCTAGCTCGTTAACTTCAGCTAACTTTATGCGAGCGGCAACATGGATCGATTTTTAGTGAAGTTACCTAAAGTGAGAGAGGAGACAGCGTCTGGCCACCCCAGTTGGCAGCTTTGTTTTGAAATAAAAGTTGTGGCTCATCGGACATTTATCAGAGAAAATCCCTGATGTCCGAGTGCAAGTGAATGCAGCACAAGACGCGAGCCTTGTAACCCTGGCGCGAGCGAGGAAATGTGATTGGCGGCGATTTCATTTGAACGGGCGGCAGAAAACGAGAAGCATTCGGACCCAAGTACACGGAAGGAATAAGGTATTTGCGGTCTACAATGACAGAGAAGAGACTGTCAAGTTTGGCTGTGCTCAGCATTGAATCAAAACGCACTAAAGCTTTGGATGTTAATACGTTTGTGAGGCGTTTTGCTGAACAAGATGGTAATCGCCGCATTCAGCTGTAATAGGCATGCCAACTTGATGCTCTGCTCACGGATGACTCGAGCATTAAAAACTGTTAAGATGATGACCTTACGTGTGTACATATATTTTTTTCTTTGTGGGGCTCTGCCCTGAGAAAGTCAAATAAGATGGTGTGTAAAACTACACTGCCCAGACAAAAATAAGTAACCACTTTGATTTAACTAGGCCAGTAGGTAAGGGCATTCCACTGGATAATAATACCCCTGCATTATAGCAACAACAATAATAATAATAATAATAATAGCAATAATAATTGGGAGGGGGGGGCGCGGCTGTTCTTATATTCTCTGAGGGGAGGCTCACCTTCCCACACTTTGAAAACCCCTGCTGTACGGAATCGTAGTAATCAGCAGCGAACCGCTTCAACACGTGTATTTCAGTGTATTCACGGCATTCATTTTGTTATTCTACAGTATTGTTGTTTTATAGTTATTTGTTAATGTAACCCAATTTGTGTTCTTTGAAATTGAAAAGGATATCGCATTGTGTTTGTTACATTCATTGCAGTTGTATAGGCTATGTGTTAAGTGTAATTTGGCATGTCCTATTTATGGACATGCTTTTATTTTGAAGGAGAGTTAGCGCAGTTGACAGGAAGTTGTTGTTGCTTTGGAAACAACGTGACAGAGATTAACGGAGAAAAGTAATATCTACATATAAAGACGGAGAAAGTAAACGATAACGTTTATGGTTAAGTGTTAGCACCCCCCGAAGAGGCACAAGCTCTTACGTTGATATTGGAGATTTCAATAAATTCAATTTGAAAAAAAAACGGGGAAAAAAAACAAAAACGAATATCTGAATAACGAAATTGAAACCCGAATAGTACTCCAACGAACGAATATTCGGATATTTTGGTACAGTAGGGCTGTACCCGAATAATATAATAAAGTTATAGTAAATAATAACAAATTCCAGTGTTAGAATTCCATAATTCCATATTCATAAATAAAATGATATGCAAATAACATTTTCTTGGCTGTGGACTTGTACTCTACATAATTATGTTGAGCTCATGGTAATCTAATTCAATAAACAATAACTGCAATGAACAGATAGCATTTTCTGACTCGTAAAATGATTGGATATGGTGTAATTTGGCAAATGATTCTGTGTTGAAAAATGTATATCTTTAAAAACTGCGTTGGTGTATTAGGGCGGGCCATACTAATTTTTCTTGTAAATCGATCGAGAGGGGTGTTCAAATAACGTATTTTGGTGTGTAGAACACAAATCTATTTAGATGCTTTTATTTTGAAGTTGTTGCTATGGAAACAACATGACGGAGAAAAAAGTAATATCTTCTACATATAATAACGGACAAAGTAAAGAATGAAGTGTATGTTTAAATGTTAGCACCCCCCGAAGAGGCTCAAGCTCTTACGTTGAGTCTGGAGTTTC